AGTCTCTGGTGAATCTTCTCACTGCCCTCCCAACATACACCACTAGCCTACACCCCAGCTTTTGTATGTATGTATGTGTGTGTGCATATATATATATATATAGATATATATATATATATATAACCTCTGGCCATATTTAAATATATATATTTATATTTAAAAGGCAAAGTGACCACACAGAGTAAGAACCCAGAGAGAGGAAGGAACTCAGGGTATGATCCATCAGGTTCGGGACTTTAAGTTTTGGGGCAGCAAAACTGACACTTGGGACTATTAGCTCATAGAGGAGAAATTTTTAGATTCCAAGCATTAATATTCAGAGTCCTTAAATGAGGGTGGGAGAGCAGTGTCCACCACCATGCGCAAATCAGTCCACTACAGGACCAACGCGCCTTGCAGCCGCCGGCATTCCCCCTCGCTGGAACTGAGGGGTGGATGCTGGCCAGAGGCTATAAAGGGGCTGTTGGGGTTGTGCTGAGGAAGTGCACCTCCCTACACAGGAGCCAGGATCTCACCGTGACAGGGGCTTTCCAAACCTGTCCTCTGCTGTTTGTTTCTGAGTTAACCCCGTTTGCTGTTGAAATAACTAATTTCTTGTATTTGAGGTTTGCTTGGGATCAACAACTCAAAACACTCTGGACCCTGAGCTAAACCAAAGTAAAACTCAAGGCCACTATGTCAAGTTTTGGTACCCTAAACCAAAATGAACCCTGTCTTTCCTTCAAGTTACTGCCTCATCCTTTCTGCCTCACTCATGTGGTGCCAGCATTTGAAGACGTGTCATGACGATGGGTATTTTGTGTGTGAAAAAGTTGCTTTTTTATTTTCTTTTTACTTTATGAACAAATGGGCTTGTAACTTGAATGTTTTCCCTTTATCCCTTCAGATTTCCACATTTGGCAACCCATTTCTGAAGTCTGGCCATGGAACAAGTTTTGTGAATAACATTCTTCTCTGGTCTAAAGTGCAGTTGTCTCTGGGGCTCCCTTCCATCATTGTAGGGGTCACCACCGCTGCCTGGGCACTTCAAAAGCATTTTGCCCAGCCTGGTGGGACTCTCCATCAGCAAAGCTTGACTCTCATGGAGCATTTTCTGACCAAGTATTTCTGGCTCTGTTTCTGTTCTGGATTATGTCTTGTTCTGGTTCTGACTTGTAAATAGCTGCTGTGTTTCAGTGAGTGGGTGGGAGTGAGGCCTTTGGTCTGACCATTGGGTGAGCACAGCCAGATGCAGACAATAGGAATTCTGACTGAAGCTTGCTAGCCTCTGTCTTTGTTTATCTTGGAGCTATCTGCTATCTCCTGGGATGCCCAGTTTTTGTTTTTACTAACTGTACACCAGTGTGAGCTCAAATCACTTAATAGGAGAACTGTTTTTTTGTTATTTTTTTTTCCTGGAATGGACAGTAGACTTTTGATAGTTACAGTCAACCAACTGGTTTAGGTTTTTGAATTCTATGTTTTACTTGTGGACCTGTGGATATAGTGATGGTGACAGAGGTGGTTGTTTCTCTGTGTAAACGTATACGGGCTTTACACCCAATTCAAATGCGTGACTGTGTCTGGGGTGGGATTCTCCTACACCACCAAACAATTCCCAGACACCAGCAGGGTGTCCTACTATTTGACCGCATTCTGTCACTATCATCTAGAGCTCAGGTCAGATCCCACAGGTTAAGGGTGCAGTATCACAAGACTGTCCTCCCACTTCCCACTGCCCACCCCCAATCGCCAGTCTGTCTTCTAACCTGCCAGATGTACAGTCTCTAGGGGCTCCGCTCTTCCCTACTCTTTGCTGGTTTACCACCTGGGAAGTTCTCCGGCCCTGTTGTTATGGTTTTATTTTTAATGGAGGCTTCATTTCACAGGTGTGCTTGATTAAATCAGTGCCCACTGGTGATCAGTTCTACCTCCAGTCCCTCTCCCTTCCTGGGAGGTCAGGGGATGGAAAATACCAATCTTTGAATCACGAAGTTGGTTCTCCTGGCAACTTGCTGGCAACATTTGGGCCTTGCCAAAAGCTGCCTTCTTGACATAATAAAAGATACCTTTCTCTCTTATTGCTTAGACAGTTATTTTTTTTTTAAGATTTATTTATTTGTGCATTCAGAACTGGGGTACAGGCCAGAGGTGCAGGGGGCGGTGAGAGGCTTTCACCAGAGACAGAGTGGGGAGCAGAAAAGGCAGATCGTTGAAGTACCCTGCTGAGGGGAGCAGCGGGCGGTTCAGGAGAGGTCTGCTGCACCATGTGGATCACCTCTAGGGCAGGTGGGAATTGAGCTCATAAGTAAGTGGCTTTAGCTTCTTAGTGCTATGCTTTAACCTGCTGTGCCACCAGGGCTTAGGCAGTTTTAAGGGCTTTAGGAACTCTGTGCCAGAAACCTGGGTGAGGGTCATCTATATCTATATTTATTTATTTATGCATACAGAACTGGGGTACAGGCCAGAGGTGTGGGGAGTGAGAGGATTCACCAGAGACAGAATAAGGAGCAGAACAGGCAGATTGACAAAGTACACTGCTGAGGGGAGCAGCAGGTGAGACAGGAGAGGTCTGCTGCGCCATATGGGTCACCTCCCTGGCAGGGGATTGAACTCATGCTACAGTGGCTGTGGACAGCTTCACAGTGCTGTGCTTTAACCCATTGTGCCACCAGGGAGGGCCTGATTTTATCTTTTTTTCACAATTAGTACTCCGTTGTGGGGATGGGGTGTTTCCAGGAGGGGTGTTCCCTGGAGTTGGGGTATGGTTAGGAGTTAGCCCTTTTATGCAGCTGTAAGCAGGATGCTTCTATGGCTTGCAGCCAGCAGCTGACAGCAACAGGTGGTGTTCTCTTACCTTATCTCATTGGCAGAGACAGAGGCTGGAATTATGCTGCCGAAAAGCAAGGAATGCCAAGGATTGTGGCAACTGCCAGAAACTAGGAGAGAAGATGGAACATTTTCCCTGTGAGCCCCCTAGGGGTCCAGTCCAGCCAGCAACTTGATTTCCAGAGTTCTAGTCTCCTGAATTATGAGAGAATAAAATTCTGTGTGTGGAACCATCAAGTTTGCCACCAGTTGGTGGGGTAGCCTTAAGAAACTGACAGGCACATACTCCCAGCGTGACTTACCACCTTACAGCTTCATCTTGACCAACTGCCTGGGGTAGTATTTGCCAGGTTTCTCTACTATAATGTTACTCCCTCTTCATTCACATAATGTGAAGATGAATTTCATTTTTAAAGATGAATGAAGGGTTCAATAGAACTTTCTGGAAAAATGTAACTTTTATCATTGACTTCCCATTTCCATACTGTCCTCTTTGGAAGGATGTTACTGTCTGTGCACAGCTCACTTTTGAGGGGTGGGAGTTATATCCCATATCACAGTGTTTGTTTTGCTATTGTGAAAGAAACTTCTACTATATGCATGTTATTACTAATATAAAAGACTGCTATTATCCATCGACGAACTTAAACTTGTAACAGCTTTACCAAGCGCCCTTGTTAGTTCTACTACTTTCCTCCTATTTGATTTCTTTAAACTGTCCGGAATTATTACTATAAGTAGTGCTTTTTCCCCTTCTTTCCTCATATTTACATGTTAAATTTCTGTGTTTGTTTTATTACATTTGCCAGGACTCCAGAAGACGATTAAAAAATAGCAGCAGTTGGAGAGCTAGTACACAACCTGGGATTGTTGTCTGTTAACACCTTTCATTTCTTTTGGGAAATGCATCCTCTTCTATGCCCCACAGGTCATCCTGAGGAGATTTTGGCTCTCTTTTTCACAGAGAGCCACCAACCCTTTGATACAGAGCCGAGCTCATGGCCCAGGTCTAGCCAATCAGAAAGTCATGTTTTCCTGGTCAGGTTGATTGTTCCAAAGATAGGCAAGAAATCGAAGCAGAATCAATCAAGGCTTTCTTTGATTTGTTTGGGACCAGAGGAGAATGGGAGATGGTCTTATTTTCTGGCTTACAGGTTGGGAAAGACCAACACTGGAGACCACCGTCCCCAGCACTGGAAGAGAAAAAGAATGAAATTAAGGAAATAATCAGAAACAATGGGGGAGAAGAGGACAGGGGAAGAGGAACTGAGAAGAGAATACCAATGGCCTTTAAAAAAAAAAAAATCCCTAAACATGAACTTCCTCATCAATGAGCCAAACGATTGTTTCCCCCCATGTTCTTTGCGTGAGTCGGGTCACTTACTGCAGAAGGAATGCTGACATTAGACGCCCGCTGTCCTGGTAACTGACATTTATTAGGCTTTTATTGTGCACCAGGTTGAGGACACATGGTCCAGCTATACAATCTCAATAACTCCTCACAGCCAGCCGTGTAGATTTTAATGTGAGTTTGCAAGGAAGGAAGCAAGTTGCCCAGGGCTCCGACGAGGACGCAGAGGTGGCCCTTGGATCTTCCTTTGCCTGAGACTCCTGGCTTATAGACCAACATCCAGGGAGCTGTCCTATTTGGAAAATGTGGGCTTGTTGCTTTACTGTGGTAGATTCTAAGTCCTTTAATGGAACGACTGGCAGGGGAGAGGGCAAATTCCGAACGCAGTCTCGAAGCAGGTGTTGGGGACAGTCTGCAGGGCAGGTACAGTCAAAGCTTGGCACGCCTGGTTGGCAGGCTGGAGAACCCCAGTCCTTCCACGTCCGCCTTTCAGAACCTGAAACCCCCGAAGGAGGCGCAGAGCCAGGGCAGGCTCTAGTGTCAGAAGGTCGGAGGACCCAGCCCTTCTCACTGTCCCCACCTCCTGGCGGCTTTCCGTTTGTTATCAGAACTTTTCCAAACTTTGCCTTCCAAGGCCAGGAGTTTGTGAGCCTTTCCCAAGCAGCCGGCGTAAGTGGAGGTGCAAACGTGCACGGGGTGCGTCTGAGGTCGCCTGCTGACCGGCTCCGCGGCTCGGGCTCCTCCGGAGCGCGCCCGGGGCGGGGACTGGAGAGGGGGCCGGCCCTGCACTCTGATCGCCGGCGGCAGCCTCCGCACTCCGGGATCGCAAGGCACCGGCCACATGGAGGCTCGCGAAGAGCCCCAGCCCGAGCGCCTGGGCCGGGCGGCCACCGCCGGGCGTCGCGGACCACCCTGCCTGCCGCTGTCCGACTTCCGAGAGGAGCTGCGGGAGCTCCTGGTCCTGGCGGGTCCCGCGGTGAGTTAAGGGGCCTCCGTCGGAAGTCTGCGGGTGGGCGACCGGCGGTCCGTGGGGTCCATTATCACCGGGGAGTGGGGTGGAGCAGTTAGCAGGCGGCGGCCAGTCACCCGCGGGCGCCCGAGAGAGATGATCGGGCGCTGGGAGCGGGGCAGGGGCCGGTGGCCGAAGCTGCCGGGTGCCTGGCCGCGCGTCACAACCCCCTACCGCCCCGCGCCCGGACCGCCCGGCGCCGCTGGCCAGCGCCGTGGCCCTGGGAGTCTCGGCGAAGCGGGACCTGCTCCCCCAAAGGCTTTCCACCCGAGTCTCACCCCAGGCGCGTATCTCAAAGTTATCCCAACTTGAAAACACTCGGGAATTTGGTTTACTTGAAAAAAAAAATTGCTGTAGTCTGGGAGCTCAGGTATCTAAACAACGTTTTGAAGTGTGGAGGAAAGTGAGCAGTGTCTGTCAGGGATTTGAGCTCCGAAACTATTTCTGGGGAACTAGGTCTCGTCAGCCTTTGCATGAGGAAACCAGGATCCCGTCCTGTATATACACCCCCACACCCCCTCCCAAGTATTGTGGGTAGAAAAGCGCTTTAGTGTGGCTCTGTCTTGGGTTGAGGTTTTAAGAACTACACAAATATAATCCATTCAGGTTTTGCTTCCAGTGGGGAGATTTTGAGTCACCAGGGTAGGTAAGAACCCCATTTCATTGGACAGGAAGAACCTGACACATTTTTTTTTTTAAAGATTTATTTATTTATTCGTACAGACTGGGGTACGGGTCAGAGATGCGGAGGGTGAGAGGATTCACCAGAGACAGAGTGGGGAGCAGAACAGGGAGGGTGAGAGGATTCACCAGAGACAGAGTGGGGAGCAGAACAGGCAGATCGACGAAGTACACTGCTGAGGGGAGCAGCGGGCGGGTCAGGAGAGGTCTGCCACACCATGTGGTCACCTCCGGGGCAGGCGGGAATCGAACTCATGCGGAAGCGGCTTTAGATTCTCAGTGCTGTGCTTTAACCCGCTGTGCCATCAGGGAGGGCCCGACCTGACACATTTTTAAGTGGAGAAGAAACCTTTGGCCAGGGGGTGGGCATTCTATACGTGCAGAGGCTAAGCAGGCCGGTGTGACCCGGCACGGTGACGCCGTCACTCGTGGGATCTGGTGACACCCGCTGTGTGGTGTGTGTGGTGGCAGGAATGGCAGGAGTAAGCGCTGACATGAAAGGTCACCTAGTAGGAAGCAGTTTGCAAAGACCTCTTGCAGAAAGAAAAGAACGAATGGTTTGGAATCTCAAGCCCTGGGACCCAATTCCCTGCTTTGAATTCAGCAGGTAGGTTAGGAAGCCGTTCTGTGAACTGGAGTCCTCTCCAAGCCTCTTCCAGCTTCTCCTGTCCATCTATTCGGTGAGGACAATAGTCCATGCTTTGGGCCAACACTTCCTTGCAGAGTGCTGTGAGGAAGGACTCTGAAAGGCAGGTGCCACTCTAATAGTATAAAAAATGAAGGCAAAGAGCTTCTTGAAGCCCAGCTTCTCCCAGTGACAGGTCTTTTGTCTTTGTGCTGCAGTGGCCTGGTCTCCATGGCGTAGGGGGCCTTCTGTCCGCAGGGATGAGCACATGCCAGGCCCTCACACTTTCTGCTTGTGTGTACACACATGTGACTGCATTGACTGCAAATGTAACACACATTCCCTGTAGGGGAAAAAAAAGGCCAAGGCAAACAAAAGAAAAATAACTGAGATCTCACCATTGAGAGACAATTTGGGGGTTCCCCTTCCAGACATTTGTGAGTGTTCTGTGTGACAACTTTCCCCGATGAGGACAAAGTATGTACCTGTTCAGCCCCATGCAGTGTGCATGGAACCCCTCGCGGGCTCTTTTGTGAGTGGTCCATTTCCATCTATCTTGCCCCTTCCTGCCCCTGCAAATTGTGGAGAAGGTGCAACTGGTTTAGGTAGGATGCCAAACCTCTCTGTGTTCTTTCTCTCCCGCTCATGCCTCCCTTCCAGGCATCTCATATTGACCCCATGCTAGGAGAATCCAAGATACGACTCAGGCTAAGGTGCTAGGATTATCCATTGCCCTACTGAGTTTCATTTAAATGGAGCGTGTCAAGAGGGAATAACGCAGGACACAAAGGAAAGCGTTTGAAATGAACAATGTGCATTGGAAAAGATGCTATCGATATATTTTCCATTTACCCCCCAGAAAGCTTTAGGAAAATGTGTATTTGTGGGGGAGGAAAAGTGGTGGTTAAAATTACCTAGCCTCGGGCATTTCAACCTTGCTCTCTCTTTGTCCTTAGCATCTCCAAGTCAGCTGAACTGTCAGAGTCCTGGAAAAAAATTTCAAAAAGGGTTTGGCTACACCCTAGGGGCATCAACTGTCCACAGCATTGCCAAAGATATGAAAGATGGGGGAGCAGAAAGCCTGGGAGAGAGCTGGAGAGCTTTCTAGTACCCCTAGTCAGGAAGAGCAGGGAGACCTCCCCCAGGTAAGGACAATGGAGGGACTGATGGACAGCTGTTGCATTTCTCTTGTAGGCATTGGGGGAATAGTTAGCTGGGAATGTTAGTGACAACGAGGCAGAAGACAATCTGGGCTACAGAGGGAAACGCCTAAATGGGGAAGACTTCATCTGGGAGACAGTCCAAGGGTGATGGGTGTGAGAATTGAGGAAATATTCAGAGATGGAGTGGAAACTCGAGATGCTCCAGGACCTTCCCGCTGTCCCCCCATCCTCTCTCAGGCTGAGCATCTCTCAGCTGGGTCCACATCTTCCCTGCTCCACCGGCATGCCCCAAGCTTGACCACTGTGGACTCTAAATGTTCTCCCCCATGTCAGCTCATGGAGCCCAAGTGCTCCTCCTGGAGTCACCCAGCTCCTCTTCAAACGAACATCGGAAGTTGTCGACTCTGATTCTGTGGGGTCCTACCTTGTTTCACTTTCCCCCCTTGCCCTTCACTGCAGTCTCTTTCCTGTCCCCCAGCCATGCCGCAAACGCTGCACCCTCCTGCTGTGCTCTGTTCCCTCTGCCTGGAATACGCTCCCCGGATAGACAGGCCACCTTCACGTGCCAGCTCGTCCTTCAGGTTTCAGCTGAACTTCTTTTCCGCTAGGAACCTTCTCTGACTCCTGTGTTATGCTCTCCAAGCTCCTGTCTCCTCTGTAGGGCCCATCACATGTGCACGTATCTGGGTTATATGACTTGACCTCTTTTCCCTTCCATACTATGGAAGCTCATGGTGTAGGAATGGAATGGTGGAGTCCCACTCACTCAGACCCATTCCCTGAAGATATTGGCCCAAATGGACCATCTGAATGCAAGAGGACTTGAGTGCTAGTTACATCTCTGCCACTAACTAGCTATGTGACCGGGCTGATCGTTCACCCTGACTGCCGGTTGCTCTCTCTTGTGTCAGAGAAGAGGCTGTATTCAATGACTCAGTGATCATGCACTGTCTTTCCAGTGCTAAGATACTGCTGCTAGGAGTCAACTTCCAGGCATCTGTGACAGAGGCTAAGAATGGGGCCTTCCAGAAGCATGCTGGTGCAGCACACTGGGCAGGTTTAGACCTATTGCCCCCCTGGCTTCTGGCCCTGGAAGTACCTTTCTGAAGCTGCCAGGAGGTAAGACAATACCTGGTCTGAAAATAAGCAGGGTCTTTGTGACAAGAAGAAGGGACAGAAGTATATTCTGGCCATTTTCATGTCCATTTGACCACATCAGACTATTGTTGAGACAGCATTGTTGAGACATCTGGGGGAACCAACCTTTGCCCAGAATTTGTTAATTCCCTGGGCACAGCCACATGCCCTGTGATGGGACAGTTCTGAGGGCCGGGTCCTTGCTGACCATATCTTGATTGGGTATTAGAAGAGGGTATGGGGCACATGCTGAATGCTCCCATGGGCATTCAGGCAGAACAACCGGGACAGGCAGAACAACCTCCCAGGTGATCATAATGTGAATGAACCACAAGAACTCATATGAAGGGCTTGAAATAAGGATCTGAGAGCATGTATGTGGTTAGCAAATATGAACTCTGGAGCCGGATCTTCCTGGGGCTGCTGTTCAGGAGGGCACAGCATTAGGCAACCCGGGCCCTGTGTTACTTCCATAACCCAGCTGCAGCAGCCCAGCGAAGAAATAATTTTAGCTGCAGTGGTCATTGAAAATGCTTTTCACATGGATTAGTGTAATGCAGCTAGACAGTCTGGCCTCTGAGCTAACAGACTTACCTATTCCCAGCCTTGAACTGGGCTCTGGCCCTAAGAAAACATCTGCCCCCACCCACACAAAAAAGACATTCTGAGCAGTCTAGTTTGTAATAGAAAAATCTGGGGAAAGTCCCAAAGGTCTGATAATAGAGGAGACTGACTATGTTTTCATGTGAAGCCACAAAAATCAGCTTACCGGGTGTGTGGGGGCAGAGCACTGTTGAGGAGAAAGATGATCGTGGAGAAGAAGAAAACAGTTGCAGTTGTCAAAGTACAGGGAGGCTAAAAGGATGGTGATCTGAAAAGATTCCAAAGCCAAGGTAAGTTTATAAAAAGAAAGGAATCAGAAAGTTCTCCCAGAAGGCAGCCTCTGAAAATTTCAGAGAAAAGACAAACTTGTGATTTATGAAATGTGAATCTGAAATGGAAAAATCAATCAAAAGGCAAGAAGTTCTCAAAAAGATGATTCTAACTGTGGTTGCAAATGAACTTCTTAATATTTCAAGAAGTCCATCAAAAGTGGTCCATTTGCTGGTAAAAGCTGGCAGGCGCTCATTAAAATCTGTGTTCCTCATGGGTGATTTGGTGACGGGAAGCTCAAGGGGATTACAACTGAGATGGAAAAATGCACAAAATGATGTAAAAATAAACTATTATATTATTTTTAAAAAATCTGTGCTGCTTTCCTTCTGAGTGGAGTTGGCTGGGAGAGGCTGGGAGCTCCTTCTATAGTGATGCTTGACACTCATGTGCAACCCCTGTTTTCTGTCCCTTCCAGTTCCTGGCTCAGCTGATGGTGTTCCTCATCAGCTTCGTAAGCTCTGTGTTCTGCGGCCACCTGGGGAAGCTGGAGTTGGATGCTGTCACACTTGCCATCGCTGTGCGTATAGGACTTTCTAATTGAGACTGATGAAAGCTGTCGATATTAGCTTCCTCTTGCTATTGTGACAAATGTCCACACCTTGGTGGTTTAAAACAAACCAATCAATTACTTTACAGTGCTGGCAGTCAAAAGTCCAAAATGAAATTTGCTTGTTCAAATCAAGGTGCTGGTTCCATTGCCATGTAGCCTCACATATTTTCAGGTTCTGGGGGGGTAGGGATGGGGACATATTTTGGGGGGCTATCATTCTGTCTACCTCGTGAGCTAGTATTTTAAAAAAGATTTATTTATTTATGCATACAGGAGCTGGGGTGTAGGCCAGAGCTGGGGGATGAGAGGATTCAGCAGAGACAGAGTGGGGAGCAGAACAGGCAGATCCATGAAGTACACTGCTGAAGGGAGCAGCAGGTGAGACAGGAGAGGTCTGCTGTGCCATGTGGGTCACCTCCCTGGTCAGGAATTGAACTGGTTCTGCAGTGGCTGTGAATAGCTTCATAGTCCTGCAACTTAACCCCTTAAGCCACTAGAGAGGCCCCTTATGAAATAATTTTTAATCCATGGACTTTGGACTCCCACTCCTGGTCCCACACCTGGAAGAAGGGATTGTAATGGCATGTGTTTCAATCTGCCTCCTGAATTGTATCAGGAAGAACTGTGACCCCCACTCACACTCCATAACTTGTCTATCTTGTCTAATCTGGAAATGGAACTGAAGATGAAACCCTTGATCTTAGTGTCTAAACCTAAAAGTGGATGGAACCCTAAATCTTCATAGTATTGTTGATTCAAACTCCCCAACCAAAGAGCTATATCATTAATCTGTCAGGGGTTAACTAGCTATGCTGAGCTAGGTATTTCTAGGGAAGTGCTTTCAATGACTTTTTGCAGGATGAGTCCCTACTCCCCAAAGACTCCTAAATTTTTCTTTGCTTCCAGTACCCCTAAGCATCCTTCAGTTTACCTGCCTAATTCCTGCAGGCATCTGAGTTTGCTCCCTCTGAACTGTTCAAGACGACCCTGAATTAGTTCCTAGCCATAGAAGGCACAGATTATTTTATTTTCAAGGAGTAACAAAAATAACCTCAGGCTCCTTTTTGGCTTTTAATGATTGCCAATTTGGAGGGAGGCAGAAAAGCTCTCAGCCAGCCTCCAGCAAATTCTCTCTGGCCAAGAAAAGGCAAAAGAGCTGTAAAGGCAAAAAAGTTGTAAAGCCGGGCCTGGCTTCGGTCGCTGTCTCCAGGGTCTACCAAGTGGACTCAGGTGAAGGCAGCAGCTTCCAGACAGTGAGAGCACCAGATGGCCTGTGATACAGCTCCCTGGTTTGGGGACCCTGCCTTGGGTTTCCCAAACCTCTGGGAACAACCAGGTTTTGTTGCTGACCCTGGACAGGACAAGTCCACTTGGCCTTGACTTCAAGACTTGCCTCTGTGCTCCCAGAGCCCTTCAGGATAGTGTGAAAGGCTGTGCTGGAGCTTCCGTAGTGACTTTGTCCCGAGCTGCTGTTGTATCGCATTGCGTTAACCCCTGAAAAAGGATTCCCATTCCGATTATGGTGATGGCACACAGGTGACTTGGTGATGGGAAACCCGTGGGGATTACAATTGAGATGGAAAAAAAAATGTACAAAATGATGTAAAAATAAACTTTTGTAAAATAAAAAACAAAAACAAACAAACAAAAAAACCAAACTAACAAAAGAAAAGGATTCCCATTCCGTAAAATAAGTAAGACCTTGGGATGTAATGCACAGCATGGTGACCTTAGTTAATAATACTGTATTCTGTATTACGTATTTGAAATTTGCTAATTTAATAATACAGTTGTCTATAGCATATCAAAAGTTCTCAACAAGAGAAAAATATTGTAACTAATGTATAGGGACAGCTGATAATTTATTGTGATCATTTTGCAATGTGCTTAGACATTAAATTGCTATGTTGCACACCTAAAACTGATGTTACATGTCAGTTGTACCTCAAAAAATAAATGAAAACATCATTCTGACTGTTAAAAAAAAAAAGGACTCACATTCCTATGAAATTGGGGAACAGAAGCTTAAGACTTGCAAAAGAAAAAAGCTGGATCAGAAACGCTGGCTAAGATTTTCTTCCGTCTCTAAATCTGTGTGTCCTTGAAATGCAGCCAGCCCACTGGCAGAGGATTCGCGCGGCTCCCCAGGGCCTCACAAGGGCGATGTGGGTGATGTTGTGACTTAGTGTGCAGGACCCGCAGGCCTGAGCGGGGCGGGCAGTGCTTGGGCTGCTTTTCCTCCCTTAACTCTGTGTGGCCTCCTCTTCGTGTCCTTTCCAGGTTATCAATGTCACCGGTATCTCCGTGGGGTTTGGCTTATCTTCTGCTTGCGACACCCTCATCTCCCAGGTAAGTGAAAGCCCAGACCACTCTCACAGTGATCCTGGGGCTGTTCTCTTGAAGAACCTCACTGCAAACAGGGAGAAGGGAAACATAGAGGGAAGAAATTCTCACCAGTAAACCCTGTCACAGCATTTTGTCAGCCACCAATGCGTTGTCTGGCCTATGTTCTTTGAAATGTGGCTGGGTGACTCTCAGGCAGAGGAACAAGTGTTTATCTGCACAGGTACACAGCCACCTAACACTTGATCATATAAGGGTGTTATGCGAAAGTCCTTTCTATCCCTTTCCAGGTCAATGAGGTTAGCACTGATCGTAGATGGTGGACATAGCTGCCATCCAGGTCAGGATATGTGCGACCTATGTGGTTGTCAAACTTTCATGTGCATGTCAGTCACCTGCAGGGCTTGTTAGAACACAGGCTGGTGGCCTCAGCCAAGGGTCTGATGGCAAGCATTTAAAGACAAGGCCCCCTAGGTGGGAGTGGGGGCAAGGGCTTTGCATGGAGGATCTGCCACTTCCGGTGGTGGAAGTTACTCACTCCGTGGCTAATTTCAAGCTGCTAGAGAGATGTCACTGATCGTGGACCTGGGAGGAGATGTACGCAGTTTGGCCTTGCCCTGGAGGTTCTGTGTGGGGCCTAAGAACTTGCATTTCTAGCTTCCAGGTGATGTAACCCAGACTGCACATTAGCTTAACCTGGGGAGCTGTCTCTATGGTGCATGACTGGAGGCCTTGGTGGGGAATATGGGGGTGCCATGCAGTGCTAATGGGTTCGTCTTGCTGTGTGCACCTAGACGTTTGGGAGCCGGAATCTGAAGCACGTGGGGGTGATCCTGCAGAGGGGTGTGCTCATACTGCTTCTGTGCTGCTTCCCCTGCTGGGCACTCTTCCTCAACACCCAGCAGATCCTGCTGCTCTTCAAGCAGGACCCGGATGTGTCCAGGTAAGACAGGACATGCCAGGCAGGACTGGAACCCATCCTGGTGGAAGGTTGTCCTAAGTTCAGCTTCCAGGAGTTACAAACGCCAGGGACAAGGTCACACACCAAGGGACCAAGGCGGGGAGGGAGGTCCTTTCTCCCGTGACTATCAGGCGTTAGTCCTAGACTTCTCCTTGTCTGGGTGACCTCTAGGGTAAATAGCTTTGAGTGAAAGTGGGTTTGCAACTGTCCTTCACGTGGGATGGTAGTCTGTGTGACTGTTCATGGTTTTGTGCTTCTTGACCATGGTGAAAACTGAAATCCCCCTGGGGCCTCGAAAATTCACTCACGCTTGGGTCCTCTCCCCAACGGCGTACTGTTTTGATTAGTCTGGGGTCTGGATTGCAGTCTGGTGTCAGAATCTGTCAAAGTACCCCAGAGGATTCTAAAGTGCCATCAAGTTTGAGACTTATGCTTTTAGTTTATGAAGATCTTTAAAAGTTCTTGCCTTAGACCAGTGGCTCTGAACCCAGGGAACATCTGGCAATGTCGGTAGATGTTTCTGATTGTCAGAAATATCTGATATTGGGGGGTTGGTAGTGGTAAAAGCCAGGGATGCTGCAAAACACTCTCTGAGGCCCACAGAGAACACAGCTGCCCTCCACAGAGAACTCTGCAGCTACATTGCTGAGCTTGACAAACCTGTCTCAGACCCAAAGACTTAGAGGAACCAAGAGGGTTATAGAATGATAGGCTCCATGTGTAAAATATCACATTCATTCTAGTCATGTAAGCCCATTAATTTAGGAAGCACCAAGAATGCAAAGGCAGGTTCAATTTGTTTTTCCTCCTTACCTTGTCCTTGGAATGAAGATGTCTATCATCCTTTTTCCCCCTTTCTTTCTGTAGGCTTACCCAGACCTATGTGATGATCTTCATTCCTGCTCTTCCTGTAAGTGCTCATGGTTTAAGAGGGGCCCTTCTTGAAACCCAAGGATACAGGTAGCCAAGCTGTTCATGAGATCAGTGAATTGACCACATATGATTCCCACATGTGGTGATGTGGTGTTTGCCTCTTTAAGAAAGAATGACATTAATAGACCCATAAAAGACACCAACAGGCCCTCCTTGGTGGCGCAGCGGGTTAAAGCACAGCACTAAGAAGCTAAAGCCACTTCAGCATGGAGTTTGATTCCCGCCTGCTCCGGGACACCAACATTTGCTCCTGGAGAAACACCAAAGTCTAGGCCACTCCAGTGGGCCACTGCCCTGAACAGTACCTGAGGTGCCTCTGGCATTTTTTTTAAAAATTTATTTATTTGTTCATACAGAACTGGGGTACAGGCCAGAGGCTCAGGGGCGGCGAGAGGTTTCACCAGAGACAAGGTGGGGAGCAGAACAGGCAGATCAAGGAAGTACACTGCTGAGGGGAGCAGCAGGCAGGTCAGGAGAGGTCTGCCATGCCATGTGGTCACCTCCGGGGCAGGCGGGAATCGAACCCATGCAGAAGTGGTTTTAGCTTCTCAGTGCTGTGCTTTAACCCGCTGCGCCACCAGGGAGGGCCCGCCTCTGGCATTTTATTGGGGCTGACAAGCCTTTATTGTATTGGGATTAAGTCTTCTCCATCAGGACCCTTAAAGGCCTCATTCTGAACCGTGAGACATTTTTGTGCTTGCTGTGTGTCATCGCACAGAATCCTAAGTGTGTGTTAATGTTGATACAGTCATGTGCGGACAGTATGCCCACAGAGCACAAGTTTCAGTCAGTGAGGCAGTGACGCTGACGAGCATGCTTGAGCTGCTGTAGTAAAGTACCACAGGCTGGGTGACTTGACAACAGGAAGTTGTTGTCAGGCCCAAGGCCAAATGTTGTAGGATTGGTTTCCCCTGAGCCTGGCTCAGGGCTGGTACTTTAAGCTGAAGCCTTTCAAGTTGAATAATCTTTAATTATTCCACCAAAAGGGAGGACTCTAGTTAAAAAGTCGGTGCTCCCCAGACTTCGCCCCGGGGCTACCTTTACAACTCCCCACCCTCGCAGTGATGCGCATGATGCAGGCTGGAAGCCCCAAGGTTGCTTGGATCCTCTTCATCTAAAAGATGTTTCGAGCCCCTCAGACTTGGAGAACTTGGCTTCCACCCTTACCCCCTCTCCTCCTGAGATGGAGCACTTCTGGCTCTGTGTGGGAGCAGAAAGAAGGCAGCCAAGACACAGCTCCCAATCACTGGCAGATGACGGCCAAAATATTAACTTTCATCTGTCTTGTTCTTTCCTAGGCAACCTTTCTTTATACATTACAAGTTAAATATTTGCTCAACCAGGTAATGCAAATCTCCCTTTTTGTGGGTGGGGGTGGGGGATGCAAGCTTCTTTGGAAGGTGGGGCCTTGAGAACACTTCGTACTCCTGCAGGGAGCCACTGAAATACAGCTGTCTGTCCATACACACAGGACTTTGGCAGTGGGGGCTTTGTTAGGTGATATCAAGGAAAGGATGCATTTACTTTGGCTCTGGAAAATTTGTGTCAACTTCTAGTTTTGAAATATTGTCACTGGCAGGGTATGATCAAAGCTGTAGTGTTCTTTGGCTCAGAATGAGCGCCCCACTCCTTGGGCGAGTCGGGAGAAAGGGTCCATACCTGTCTGCTCCCTGGTGCGCACTGGGAAACAGCAGCTGACAGGCTGATGGAAAGGCGCCACTTTCCTCAGCGAAGATGTAAAAACACAAATTGAAATGAGGCCTGGCAGTCAGTCAGAGCTCTACCTGTGTGGCTAACAATGATAACCAGAGGCCAGAGGCCAATAGCTTTGGGCTTTGTAGATAGCTATTTAGGATGCTAGCAGGTATGGGATCCTCAACATCCTTGCAGAGAAATCCAGATGAATGAGAGCACCGGGCATGCCTGGCTCAGGCCACACAGGCTGGCTTTCCAGGGCATCAGTCAAGCGGGAGGAGGAGAGAAGGACAGTTTCCATCTGTTTGATATTCTTAAAATTAACTTATTATCCAACTGGGTTTGAAGGTGGTAAAAAGGTGCAAACCTCCGGTTATAATAAGATGCAGTATTACCATGATAGCTAAGGAAAGCCTGCTGTATGGTATATTTGAACGTAGAGCCTAAGAATTCTCACAAGGAGATGGAGTTTTCCCTTTTCCCCCTTGCTTCCCCTTTTTACTGCATCCATAAGAGAGGACGGAGGCTAACCTTACTGGGCTAGCATTTCACTAGCTGTGGAAGTTAAACCACTATGCTGTTTGCCGTGAACTTACACAGCAATGTCGAGCAAGTAATCCCAGTAAAGTGGAAGGGAAAAAAGAAATTACTTTATTTTAAAATGTCAATTCTTTATTAGTATCAGTATTACATGCTTGACATGCCTGTGCAGAGACAGAAGTCGCACATCTGGGTCTGGGCTCCGGGCTGTGCCTGGAAGCCACAACCCCCTACGAAGTCGAAGTCGGGCGAGGTCTCAGGTGAGGTCTCCCACCCCGCAGGGCTCTCTCCCTGGCGCCTTCCCAGCAGCTGGAGCTTCTCACCACAGCTCTGACCTCACCTGCTGAGGAGATGTGTGAAAGCCCCACCCTCCCTGCCCTGGGCTTAAGGAGGTGTCCCTCGGGTATGGGGGATGCCCTGAGCTTCCCAAGGCGGGGAAGCGGGGGCACACTCTGGACAGAGGAAGCCCACTCAGGGGCAGGCCTGCAGAGTCTGGGGTAGGCACAACGTGGGTGGAGGGGTACACGGACGGCGGACTGTCACGGCAGGCTGGTCCTGGAAGTATGCGCAGGCCTTGCCTGCTGTGCTGAGGTTTTTAGTTTGGTGGGGAGAAATGAATTGCCAGGGAAAGAGATGAGTGTAATGGATGTGGTCCCAAAAGAAGCGGAAGAAGTTCTAGGGCAAAGAAAGAATCGCCTTGTGGGGGCAATGGGGAACACAAAGGCGGCTGGACTCTGTAGGGTGGAAGGACCGGCTGGCTGTACAGCCCACAGGAAAGGAGAGGAAGGAGCTCCTCTTACGCTGGTCTCCATCTTGGTGCCCAGCAGGACAGCAGCAAGGCAGCTGGGTTTCAGAGAAATGTCACTGGAGAGGGAAGAAGGCAGGAAAGAGGAGCAGATGACCCGTGGGGAGACGCTTAGACTTTTGGGTGAAGACGGTGGTGGGAGGGAGGGAGAGGACATGGAAGGAGGAGGTGATTTCGCTGGTGTCTGCTTACCTTGCTCTGAGGGGAGCTGGAGCGATTTCAGTTTCTACTTAGATACTGAGGACCCCCACATCTCAAGGACCTCAGGTGTGGTCTGTCCTCGTTTCAGGGGATTATACTGCCCCAGATCATCACGGGAGTTGCAGCCAACCTCGTCAACGGTCTCACCAACTATGTGTTTCTCCATCAGCTGCACCTCGGGGTGATGTGAGTCCAGCCTAGTCTTGGGAATGACTGCATGTGGCTTTTCCTGGGGGAGGGAAGTGGGGCCATTCCCTGGTCATTGTATCCTTGTGTGGTCTCCTGCCTGGGGATATGCTGTCAGGGATGGTGAGTGAAGCTGCTCTGGGAAGAAGACCTCGGGGTATGACACCAAGCAAGGTGGGAGAGGCTGAAAGCCTGGATTCTCCCCTCACCCAGACTGTTCTTCTCAGGGGCTCAGCACTGGCAAATACCATTTCCCAGTTCGTCCTGGCTCTGCTCCTCTTTCTGTTCATCCTCTGGAGAAAACTGCATGTAGCAACCTGGGGAGGTAAAGGCTGCCTTTTGTCTCCGAACTTGGATGTGGGTTTCATCTCCAACTGAATTCTTGCCTGACGGCTGGATGTGTGGCCACCGTGTCTGTGTCCTGCCTACAGGGTGGTCCTTCGAGTGCCTGCAGGACTGGACCTCCTTCCTCCGTCTGGCCATTCCCAGCATGCTCATGCTGTGCATTGAGTGGTGGGCCTATGAGATCGGGAGTTTCCTGAGCGGTCAGTGTGGGGAGAGATGGCGATGGCTGCTGGAAATGCAGGGTCCTGTCTAGAGCGTGGAGTCAGCTTTCTCTCTCCACCAGGTATCCTTGGCATGGTGGAGCTGGGCGCCCAGTCTGTGGTGTACGAACTGGCAGTCATTGTCTATATGGTGAGCGTCTGATAGCAGTCGTGTGGAGAGTCCTATCGGTATGGTGGGGTCTTCCCTGGGAGATGTAGGGAGGTGGGGAGAAAGACCAGATGACTTGAGTACAGCTGGTTCTCTATCTCCTAACACAAATTCACATCAGAAAGACTTGCCAAACATGAAGAATCTCCTCCTGTTGTTACAACACAGATGCTTTGGGGACAGGTTGATGGCCCTGCGTGCATAGCAATAAGGACCAAGCTCTTTACATCAACAGAGCTCCACTCCAACCTGATTCTGGTGGCTCTTACTATTCCATGTGAGCAATCCTAGGTCAGGCCCCCAAAATCAGAGGGTGTTGAGCAGCTATTTGCACAGCCATGTTTACAGCAGCATTACTTATGATTGCAAAAAGGCATAAACAGCCCAAGTATCTGTAAATAAATATGGCTTACCCCTACAATGGAATATTATTCAGCCTTGAAAAGGAAGGACATTTTGTTACACAAGAACCCTAGGAGGCTTTGTTACACAAGAACCTTGTTAGAGGCTTTCTTTTGACTTTGTTTTACTGCAAACATTGACTTAAAATTCTGAAGAATTTTCTTCTCTAGCAAGTCCCATTTTAACAATATAAAATAAAAATGGGGACAGAAAGAAGAATTTGTAATATGGAAAGGAACTAAAGCCAGCATGTGTGTTCTGGCATTGTTTGTAGTGTTAATGTTTAGGTTAGCCACCCTCCCCCACTGGTTATATTTAAAAAGTACTTACAGTGTATATTTTCCATTTTAAGAATCTTTTTTTTTTTTTTTTTTGAAGACCTGTTTCCTCTTTGCTTTTTCCCCCCAAACCTTTGGCAGAATTTTTTAACCTATACTTATCATCTGAGCCCTTTTATATTTGACATACATTTTATACATCAGTAAACTCATAGCTACATCAAATCCTTAATGGTGCATAGCATGCCACTGTGTGGAGTACCATTTTTTAGACCACTCTCCCTTTGTTGGATATTTAGCTTATTTCTGGTGTTTCTGTATTATTAACAGCACCTCACTAAACACCTTACGACATCTATCTTTGTAGATGTGTCTGATTATTTCTTTAATATAATTCCTAAAAGTAAAATTATTTGGGATTTTGTCTTCTGCATATATTGCCATTGGTCTTCCAACAGACTTCTGGAATTTACATTTATGTCTTCTAATCAGAGGGAGGATTTATGGCCTTTACTCATATTCACCAATTGTTTTACATTTCACCCATCTGCTCACTCATTCTATCTATCTGCCTGTTTGTCTATCATCTATCTGTCTCTCTATCTATCTATCTATCATCTGTCCACTCATCTATTATCACCACAGTTGGTGTTCAGATGCCACTGATTGTTCTGGCAGTGTTCTTTGTAACTAGTTTTCCCCGGAATTAAGGTGTCCTGCCAGTACTAAAAAGATCTGTTTAACCTAGAACAGGTCCTCAGCCTTTCTTGCCCTTCTGGACCTTGCCATTTTAGTCATATGTAGGCCACCATACACAGACATTTCCCTTAATTAGTTGCAACTGTCATTTCCTCATGACCCTGCACTTTTGGTGGGAGTGCCATAGGAAGGGAGCTGTGTTCTTCTCATGCCTTGCAGCAGGAGATGTGATGTGGGTTTGTCCCATCACTGGGGATGTGAACTGATAGTTTGGCTAAGGCAGTGTCTCCCAGGTTCTTCCACCACCAATTCACCTCTTTCCATTTGTCATTAATAAATTGTGTGTTGCTCCCACTAGTGAATTTCTAGGAAAGAATTCGACTGAGTTCTTTTCTTTTATACACCTAAGTCTATGTGCCAGGCTGACCGTGTTCTCGGTCATCCTGATCATAAGACAAGAGTTACATTTAAACAAGTGACAGTTCTTTCTTTTTCAATACCAATTTCTGAGGTGGCAAATTTATATATAATAGTAATTGCTGATCTTTATTGAACAATTACTATAGATGAGACGCTTCTCTAAGCAATTAACATGTGGACCCATTAACTTTCCACAGTAACTCCGCAAAGTGGGTCTTAACAACAGTTGAAGTGGAGAGAGGGTGAGTCAGGTCACGCGGCTGACTGGTAGCAAAGCCAGGATTTGAACCTTGGCAGTCTGACTTCAGAATGCCCTGTCCGAACCACAATGCCTCTGCTTCCTGGTACCACCCAGTCCCTCACACAAAGGATAGCAGGGCTGTCAGCTTGGTTTGAGTTTTTCTATTCTTATAAGCCCATTCTCTCACACCCAGCAGGGAAAGCGACTGTCCAGGGCCTCCTAGGACTTCACACGTGGCCAGCATGTGACAGGCCTACAGTTCCAGGTTCCAGGTTCCACACTTGGGGCTCCCAGCTAGACAAAGGGGGTATTGCAAATTCATCTTTCCAAATGTTTAGGACATTTTAGCAATGAGATGGGGGAAAAAGTGCAATCTTCCAGGATGCTCCACCCTGAGGAAGGCTGGTAGTTAGCCTCAGAAGTGGACCCCAGGCAGGCTGCTTCTCTGACCCTTGCAGTCTCATGGTGGGTTTCCTTTTTCACTCTAGATACCCACAGGCTTCAGTGTGGCTGTCAGCGTCCGGGTGGGGAATGCGCTGGGTGCTGGAAACATTGAGCAGGCCAAGAGGTCCTCAGCTGTCGCCCTGGTGCTCACAGGTGCTTAGACTCCTTACTCAGAGCTTGGCCTGTGCAGTCTGTGCCTGTAAGCCCAGGCTCTCCCTCCCTTGCTCCCTCTCTCTCCCAACCCCCTTTTTCATGTACTGTTTCTCTATCATTTTGCGCCTAGAAATCTTTGCTGTAACCTTATGTGTCCTGCTGTTAAGCTGTAAGGACCTCATGGGGTATATTTTCACTACTGAGCGGTGAGTGCTAGAAATTTCGTTGAAATGTGAAATCTGTGGTACAGACATGGGTGAGTGGATTTTTCACACTGGGCTTGCCCTGTGGTTGCATCTTGGAGGGGTGCCTGAGTTGTTTGCAAGATCGAAGACTCCCCAGGTTGCCTGAGAAGAACTGACTAAAAGCAGGAGGTACGTTACAATCTATAATCTAGAATCCAGAATCCAGATTAATGGGTTTTGGTGCTCAGTCCACCATGGGAAGGCAACAGAAACCCTTCCCATTGTCTTCAAAGGGAGTCATAATTAACTCTCAGAATAATACCCTGGACCGGTGGCTTCAGAGGGAACATACGGGAATTTGTTCTGAATCTGTCCACTTCAGGGAGGTATACAGGGCAGGAAAGAGAATGGGCAACAGGAGACCCACAAACTATACATCTGAGGAGACACAAAAACTATACATTTAATGGGGAGACTAAAACTGGTGGACTCAATGGCTACTTTAACCTAAGCATCAGGAGAAAGGGTGAGACACTATGCAAGGAAAAAAATTAGCATAGGAGATTAGTTTTCACAGCTTTACAAGTAAATTTTAAAATCTGGAAGGCATAAATAATTTTTTAGGAAAATAACTTATCAAAACTTACCTCAGAAACCACAGCAGATCTAAATAGACTGATATCCTTAGGAGAAAAAAAAATTTTTTTAAACTTCAGAAAACAATTCCAAAGGGTTCCCAAGGAGACTTTTATAAAAGCTTTAAATGAGGAGCATTCTAATGCTGTCTGGGATGCTTCAGAGCTCAGAAAAGGAAAACTCCCACATTCTGTTAATGAAGCAAATAGTTTGCTACATTGGTAACATAAAGAAGATAGCAAGACGTAGACCACTCTTAACATACCCATTTTAAATCTAAAATAAAATAGTAGTAGACACACTAAATAGTAGCAACACAGTAAAAATAATACATTTTAATGGGATCTAGATATACCAGGTGGAAAAATCAAAGTACGAGGTAGAACATAACACAGAGACTATCACTTGACATGGTGGAGTCTAGAGGAGGAAACAGGAATATGTATTTGCATTTCCTTATGTATTTTTTCAAACTGGACAAACACAATACTAAGAATTGTTACTTGGTTCGGGGAGGTAGTGATGAGAGGTCAGAGGAAGTGCAGAAGATTTTTCTCCAACATCCTTTCAGATTGTTTGATTTCTTTTAATCATTTGTGTTGGCTAAAAATTCAAATAAAAATACTGTATTTCTGTCCTTTTGAGGGGGGTGACCATCCAATGCTGAATTTCTTCTTTGTTAATTCAGAAAATAGCTATTGTCAGACCGCGTTCTAGGTTTATCTGTGATGAAACTCACTCAACAATATATATAGTAAACTCTTTGCAGCCCCCAAATCAGTGACACCATTTTTGGAGTCTCCTTTCAAGTGCAGCATTAAAACCCAAACCCTCAGCTTTTAAGGTCAGCACCCATTTCTAGGAACCAAATTGTGCATAAGCTTTTGATACATTGCCAGCCTGGTTCCATAAAGAGATCCTCATCTCTATCTGTTGTCCTTTTCCAGATACAGTCATGTATGGAATCTGTTACAAGAAAGATATTAATTTGTAATAAAGTAACATTTTACATTCTTGCTATTATTTATTTTTTTTTAGTATAGGATTTCTCCCCTCACCATAGTGTTCTCCATAGCTCTCCACCACCCAGGCACCCATGAGGAATGCTACAATCCAAATTTTATTTGGGGGTGGAGGGATACCAAATCATTTGTCTTAACTTTCCACACTGACCTTTTTGTAAAACTTGTGTGGTGGGCACAGAGCCTGTTTCCTCTGCAGGCCAAGGTTTCCCTCCCCTGAGGCCTGCATGTTCCCTCACCTTAGTCTCCTAACCGCCATGTGCTTTGTCTTCCCAACAGAGAAATAATTGCTCTGGTGGCTCAGGTGATTCCGATTTATGCCATTTCCCACCTCTTCGAAGGTCTTGCTGTAAGTATTAGGCTGTATTCCCATCAGCACGTTTGTGATGCCTGTGTTTCTTCTCTTGATAAATCTAAGTGCAGAAGGCGGCCAAGGAGGTAGCAGCAACTCTTCATATTCACTTCACAAGAACACTGGCACCAGAGCACAGCTTTTGAGTCTGACAGTCCCATGGAATGGAGAGTGCTGGGGGCAGGGAGTCTTCCAGAAACATGTGCAGTGCTCATACTGATGGATTGTTATCTGCCCACAGTGCACAAGTGGTGGGATTCTGAGGGGAAGTGGAAATCAGAAGGTTGGAGCCATCGTTAATGCCCTTGGGTATTACATCATCGGCCTCCCGATTGGAATATCACTGATGTTTGCTGCTAAACTGGGTGTGATCGGTATGTTTCAGCCTCGGTCAGGCAGGACTGAGTAACCTATCAGCCCAGGAAATGACTCTCAGGACACGTAGGCGCTTGTTGAGACTTAGCTCTGGAACTCTGGTGCTTTGCTAGTTCGTTCTGGATCCAGCGCTTAAAAGGGAAGGGAGAGGACCAGAGGCTGTCTGGGGCCATGGGCACATGCTTATGCCCTTCTTACCCAGCGGGCAGTCAGGCACGTTGGCTATACTGGAGAGGAGCACGATGCTCTTTCTGCTCATCCTCCTACCCTAGATTGACGAGTTCTCACTTCTCAGTGGCAGCAGGGATTGTTCAAGAAGCATTCAGAAACACAGCTTTAGTGGTTCCAGTTCTGCCTCTTAGTGACAGCCCACGTATGGTGAGACCCTGAGAGAGAATTGCTGGCTGAGACCATCCTAATTTGGCGACACTAGCGTGTTGGAAATGAGGCAGTGGATCCTCTGGGCCAGCCTTGCTGTTTTCTCCTAGAACTCCTGGCAGCACCCTCTGTGACGATCTAACCTGGAGCGAAGCCGCATGTGTTAGTCCACACAGCCAGGCAGGCTCCACAGTCTATAAAATGTGAACCTAGAGCTGTTCTCTTTGTGTTACCTTCATGGCCATCCTGCAGCTTCCTGCTTGTGCAGCCTCTAAAGCCCTGTGTCTTATGGGTCTCCCTCCAGGGCACGTGTGTGAGGTGTGTGACCAACCCAGAAGGCAGGCAGAGGTGGGGCGGGAGGAGTTCTCATCACCCTTCTCCATTTGGAGGAGAGAACTTAATCCACAGGATGTGAAATGACCGGAGCTAATCTTTTAAAACATGGGGAAGCAAATGCCTGCCCGGCTTTGATTTCTAAAACAATAATTTGATATGCATTGGCAGTTCATACATGCTTCTATTCCAACCTGAACACATTTTCTTTGGGTGAAGGACTGATTTGCTTAAGTGTGGTTTGTTTTTATCAGTCGATCCTTGGCAGACTTCGAGACGGTGAGAAGCCATTTGATACCCAGGATGAACTTCCAATCCAATGTGTCCCATTACATTGCAAATTTCTCTCAAGTTCAAAGTATTTTAAGGAAAAATATGGGAGAAGAGAATGGAGTTGCCAACGCAAAGTTCATTGGGCTTCCGTATCACAGTCGGAAAATTATTAAGCTGCATTCTGGCATTCTTCTTCTGTTGGATTGGCCAATAGAATAGCTAGAGAAATCTACGAAAAAAATCTAGCTCTATTTATGTCCTAAGTGTTGTGCTGTACCCATCCATATACCCACATGTACTATTACGAGCAAAGAAGAGGGAGTTAAGAATCAGTAGAAATGCTGGAACCCTGGAGAAGTGTGGGCTCTGGGAGGAGACAGTGGTCAGTTCCTGCCACCTACCGGCGGTTTAGAAGAAAGCATAGCAAGAACTGGTTTTGTTGGTGTTTTGTTTATTTTGTTTCTAAATATCCAAAAGGGCAGGGTTATTATAAAAAGGGAAAGGAGAAGAAAGGATGCTTGCACAGACACAAGCCGGCAGAAAGAGCTGCCCCTGAAAGAGACAGGTTGTTGAGAGACGCGGGGCGGGGAGACACAGGCGGCAGACTTGGGAGAGCGGCTGCCCGGCTGCTGGTGCTTGCCAAAGGTGCAGGCTGGTGGAGAGAAACAGCTGCGGCTGCGCAGTCACGGCAGCGCAGGAGAGCGCCGTCTGGAAGCGGCAGGGTTAAGGAAGACATGCCTGCAGTGACACAGGCTTTGGGGCAGGCAGGCAGGAGAGCTGCCTCCAAGTGCTTTTGAGTATTGCGTCACTCTGGGCGGTGAGCACTATGCCTACACAGGAGCACCCGTTACTGCTCCTCCACGCAGTCCCAGCACGTGATAACGGCCATCCCCTTCCCTGAGAGGCTTCTTAAACACACACATTTCTGGCTCCCATTCAGGGCGCTCTGACAATGACCCCATTTTGGCGTTCCTAGGTTGAGTCAGAGTTGTTTGTAATGGTCAATGGTGAAATGATTGGAAATCTAATGGAAAACTTTCAAATTACAGGTGGAGGTAGCTGGTTATTTTCTGTTCAACATGGCTAAGCTGGCATGTCATTTGTCTGCGTTGAGAACAGTGGGCTCTCAAAACTCGGGTCGGTTTTTATTTGTCCACTATAGGAATGGAATGGCAGGTGGCCTCAACTTTAGTGGGATGGTCACACCTGAAAAATGTGGTGAGACGGTGATCAGCACCAAGGAGGAGAATTGTGAGTCTGGCTACCCAGCTCAGCCACCGTACCTTGCCCAGATCTAAATGGCTGTAGACATAAACGAAGACGGAGCAAAGGCCCTTCAGCATGAGCTTGCTCAGAGAGGGAGTCGGCCTCCATCACTTGTGTTGGCAGACTTCAGATGCGGTCAGAGGAGTGGGAAGGGGGTACCGAGGGACAGGGGGAGGTTCGGGGTGTCGGGCTGGAGGCTGGCCAGCTGGTAGTGGGCTAACAAGAGGTGGGACATCCTGTGTGACTGGACAATGACGCATACTTGGTTTTCTCTGACTGAGCCTAAGTTGGTCCCATTTAGGGAAGCTGTTAGTTATTGAGCAAGTGCTGGTCATTTTGAGGAAATTTTCTCAGAAGGTATTATTCAGTTGCTTGGATTGTCCACAGAGATAGCAATCTGGCCTCTTGTGAGTCCGACGTAGAGGCAGGCTTTTTGGGTTGTTTATTGTGGATAAGGAGTTGGTTTTCTGGGCAGGTTGCTTTAGGTTATGGGTTAAAGTTGTACTTTAATGTATGGTCTGATCATGGTGTCTATATTCAGTCTCTTGTGGCTATCAGTAAGAGTTTCTGATTTTGCCATTAATTCATTGTTGACCAAACAAACAAAAAACTCTGGCAACTTAGGGTCTCACTGTGGGTTCTGTGTGGGTACATTGGGTATCTACAAGACTTTCCCCATCCTCCATTCCCACTCAGACTCTCCTTCCCCTCCCCCCCAGTCATTGTTGGGAGGTAACTGCTCTGAAAGCTTCTAGCGAAGTCTGTACCTGAAGAAAGTGAGGAAGGCAAAAAGCATTTTTTTAGTTCACCTTTTTGAGAATGAGGCATAGTAGTTTGGAGAGGTGATTAGAAATAGGAGTTAGTTTGTCCTGAAATTTTTATTTCTATATACCTAGCACCATTTTAGAAGCTAGCATTATGATGAAAAAGGCCAGAAAAGAGCATCTGAACATTTGTTCTGAGATTGAGAACCTTGGGTAGTAGTGTTGGGGAGCACTCCAGGGCTGGCGGGTTCTCCATGGAATTAACCTCTGAAATATTTCCTCTTCTAGGTCTGTGGGCAGGAATCATCATCTGTACCATCTCTCAAGCTGTGTGTTTTCTCGGCTTTATTGCTCGGCTAAATTGGAAAAAAGCCTGCCAAGAGGTAACTGTTCATTGCTATCCCAGCAAAAGACTCTCCTAGAACACAGCACACTTAGAGTGGTCTCTCTCTCTCTCTCATTTTCTTTTTATTTATTTTTATAAATTAAATTCATGCATTTATTTTCCATCACCACAGCACCCATGTGAACAGGAGATAAATTGGGCCTGGCCAGGACACCACACTCTCCTTTCCTAACATCCTCTTTCCATTTCTGCTGCTTTTCTTTTTCTTTTTTAAGATTTATTTATGCATACAGAACTGGGTGCAGGGGCAGTGAGAGGATTCACTAGTGACAGAGGGGGGAGCAGAACAGACAGAAGCACTGAAAAGGGGAGCAGCGGGCAGGTCAGGAGGTGTCTCCCATGCCTTGTGGGTCACCTCCCTGGACAGGGATCGAACTCTTGCTGAAGCAGCTGTGGCCAACTTCATAGTGCTATGTTTTGACCTGTTATACCACCAGGGAGGGCTCTTTTTCTTCAAATTTTAGGGTCAATATGGGGGCTGAAAATCAGGTGCAAGTAGAAGAGATGAAGGAAAACCAAAGAGAAAATCCAAAATGTTCTTGGTTCTTACCTTTTCCCTCCTCTTAAGCTGTTACATTTACCCATATCAATCTTTATGAAAGAAGATTCCATACTTATAAATTTGAGGCACTCCAATGTTACATGTTAATTAAAGAAAATGACTTGACTTTTTCTACACTGGGTGGTAAAGTGGGGTGTTTCCTTGACACTGAGACTGAGCCTTGTGGATTAACTTTGAGTTTCATCTTCTAGGCTCAGGTACACGCCAACTTGAAAGTCAGCATGGATGGTACCTCTCCTCTCTCTCAGGAACCCCTTTACCCAGGTACGATCTAGCTGTCTCAACTCTCAGAACAGGCCTGTCTAGTTCTTGGAGAGGCCATGTAGGGCCATATGAACTGCCATTTAAATAGAGTGACACTGTTTCAGAAAGAAGTCACAAAGTCAATTAACACCCACTTTGAAGTTAACAGCCTTGAAGTTTGCTTGTTTTAATTCCAGATATTAACACACTGCTATAGATGATGTAATGGCTACTGGCAGGCAATTAATTCCTCAGCGGAGATGTGGCATTTCCTTGGGCATTCTACAGGCATTTCTGATGCTTGGAGGCTCTATGCTTGGACTAGATATCAGACATTTGTATGTTCGTTTCAGTGGGTCCCTGTTGTTCATCGGGCAAACATGTGGGCTTAAACCAGTTACACTTCTGGTGAACATCATGTCAATATGTTTATCTTTTTGTTCTGTCCATTGTACTCATCCCAGTTCCTTATGTGATTAGTTATGTTCTCACACTAGTCTTTGTTCCTTTATAATGAAAACCCTTTTGAGTTCTTTGATCAGCTAAATTGCAGACATGATTACTTCAGTTGTTTCTGCCAGTTCTCATTCCTGGCATCTGGTTTCCTGTATGTCTGATTGGTTATCTTTAGTTGTGCTCTAGACGTTGTAAATGTAAATGTCATTTGTATTGGAATTATGAGTCATTTGAGGCCTGGATTGATGTCATCTTCTTCAGAGAGGAGCTTCCTTTACTTCTGTCAACTATGTAGTTTTGCCAGGAATCTATAGCAATTTCAGAAAAATTGAGATTTCTGATCTGCAGGTAAGCTGCAACAAGAGGAAGGGTCAGTTTACTTATGCTTCATCTTTAAACATGGGGCGCAGCTGAAGAATAAAAGGGTTTTTTCAGGGCCCCAACCTTGGTAGGGACTGAACTCCCCAAAGCCCTGTCACTCTCAAAGGGAGGACCCTCAGGACCAAAGCAGCTGTCACAGCCAGAGCACCCCTCCGGGTGCCCTGCAAGCCCCAGATCTAGCCCTGGTGACTTTTTATATTGTTAGCACTCTGGCCTCTTCAAAATGGTAGTTCTCATTTGTTTTATCCAGCTTTTATAATTAACTTGGACCAAATAGGGTCCAATTTTCCTACCATCCACTATTTATAAAATTGGGGTAATGGTACTGGTTACTTCATACTTTCATTGGGAGAGTTAGGTGGGCTCGTGCCCGGGCAGGCTGAGAACAGTGCCCGACACAGAGGAAGCAGTCTGGTAGGGACCAACCTCTACCATCCTTTCAGCATCCTTTTCCTCAGCCCTCCGAGGGCACCCATGCATTCCCAGCATCCGCTTATGCCCACTGAGATGTCGGGTGCTGGTTTTATTCTTGTTCTGTTGCGTTACCTGCCTTAATTTTTCTCTTGGGAAGCCCTTAAGACATTTTCCTTACTCTTAACATTCTGTCATGAGACTAAAACCCATGTGAGTCACTCTCCTGCTTCATCTGCTGTAGGCCCTTGCAAGTGAGGATGCTCATGTCCAGTTCTCTCAGTGGACTTGAATAGTTAATAGGTTAATTTTTTTTTCTTCTATTGGGCTCATTCTCTTTCTGAAATATTGGCTCCTTGAAGATTTTCCCTCTGACGCTTAACTCAGAGAACCACCTCATTTCTCTAGTGCTTGTGGTGGGGCAGAACTCTCTGGAGTCCCCCGGTGGAAACAGTAGGCAGGGGCCGCCCCGCGCTGGTGAGGAAGGTGTCAGAGGCGCCCTCACAGGAGTTCTTGAGGTGCACGGTAGCAACTGCTTCCTAAATCTACTTCCTCCCCACTAATAGCACTTGTCCACATCGCCGTTCTCACAGAGAGGGAGAACATCCGGTTAAGCTGCTAACTAAGTCCTTTTTTCCCTCCAGCGGACCCTGAAAGCCATGGAGAAATTTTAATGACAGATGTGGAAAAAAAAGATGAGACTCAGTGGGCACAGCAGATGCACCAGGAAGAGCATCTCACGGACACCCAGCCGCAGGACTCAGCCAAGTTGTCCAGGAGACAGCTGTTGCTGCGACGAGGGCTCCTGTTCTTGGGGTTCACTTTAGTGTTACTGGTGGGGATTTTAGTGCGAGTGTATGTCAGCATTCAGTGATGTGGAGAGACAGAGTCACTTCAGGTGGGCTTATCATTCATAGTGAAGAACTAGTGGTGGCGATTTGTTTTTAGTAAACTTAATTCAACTGGATTTTAAGAACTGAGAGTTCAAAGATAAACTTTCGAATGAAGGACCAACATGTGCTCGTTCAAGGCAATGTCTGGAAGTTTACATTTGAGTGATCATCCATCCGTCACTGTCTCAACCATGGACCACTGTGTACTGATGCGTTCATCTTCCTGCATTGATATTTCTTCTATATAGTTTTTTTTTTTTTAAGATACGAACCAATATACTGAGTACGGAAGGATTCTTATTGTGTGAATTATTTAAAATATATTTTACAATACATCTTTCCTTGTGTCTTAGGTTATTATTCAATGGGAAAATGACACATGTTGATATTTATGTGGGATCTAATGCTCACTGTGGGTACTGGAGTGGTTTTAAGAAGGAACAAAAGGAGGAGCCTCCCTGGTGGCTCAGGGGGTAAAGTCACAGCACCATCAAGCTACCTGTTATGCCCAGATTTCAAGTTCCCCAAAGACCACCGAGCTGATTCCAATGCAAAAGCACACGAGGGTCTTTATTGCAAGCTCGAGCCTGGACTCCCAACATGCACTGACACAGCAGCCGAAGTTGAGAGCCCTAAGCTCAGGGAAGGTAGGGTTTTTGTTACAGAACAGGGGAGTTTCAGTTCAGCAGTACACTGATTGGTTGTCATTAAACAAAGTTGTCTTGCCTTAACCTTAACCATGCATGTAATCTGTGACCGTTGCGACTCTGCCCCCATACCTTGAGACATCTGGTGCTCTCCTGATATATACTGGGTACTTGCTGGTTGGCTGTTGCTATGGGATGAGTAAGATTAGGACATTTACAGTTATTCCTGGAACGAGAGGGAGGTTAGGAAACAAAAAACTTGGCCTTGCTGCAGTCTCGATAAACAAAACTTAGGCCTAGCAGTGGTGGGGGCTCTTTAAAGCCTGTTATGGCATCAGTTTGGTCCATTTGATCTTTCACTATCACCAGTCACTACAGCACAAGTTGGATCCCTGGCCAGCCAGGGAGCTGACCCACATGGCCCAGCAGACCTCTCCTGTCCTGCCTGCTGCTCCCCCCAGCAGTGGATTTCAGTAGATCTGCCTGCTCTGCTCCCCACTCTGTCTCTAGTGGGGAGCACTGGACTCTCACTCTCACACACAGACACCTCCCCAACAGTGCTGGCTTATAGCCTAATACTGTATGCATAAATAAGTAAGTCTAAAAAAAAAAAGCAGCAGAAATGGAAAGAGGATGCTAGGGATGTGAGGAAAGGAAGGAAGGACGGTGTCCTGGGCAGGCCCTGTTTAGCTTCTGTTTGCATCTGTCCTCCTGAAGAAGGGCATAGGTTATTATTATTATTTTTATTATTATTTGTGTGTGTGTGGTGGACAAAAGTTTTGTGAGGTCCTGTCTCAAAAAGAGGAGAAGTTTTTATTAATAAATTTTTAAAAAGATTTATTTATTCATACAGAACTGGAGTAAAGGTCAGAGGTGCAGGGGAGGTGAAAGGATTCACCAGAGACAGAGTGTGGAGCAGAACAGGCAGACTGACCAAGTACACTGCTGAGGGGAGCAGCAGGTGAGACAGGAGAGGTCTGCTGCGCCATGTGGGTCACCTCCCTGGCAATGAATGGAATTTGCACAGACGCTGCTGCTGAGGCCAGCTTCGCAGTGCTGTGCTTTAACCCATTGTGCCACCAGGGAGGGCCCAAAGATGCTCCCTTCTCTTTTGCCTTGGAAAATGGAAAAAGAGAATTCCTCTCGAGGACCCTGTTTCAAATAGCGGCCTTGGATTAACTAGTAACCATAGGCGAATTCACCATGCTGGGCTGGGGACACACCAGTCAGCGGTGCCTGCGAGAATCCTGGGAGGGGAAAAAATACACAAAACTAGGCTTGCTAGGCCTTTGCCCTGGGAGAACAGATCAAGGACAAAGTCAGTAGCCAGCCGTGAGGGGCGGCCTTGGGCCAGGATAGTAAAGGAGCTGCACCCATGGCGCTTCATCTCGGGAAACCCGAGGGTGGCTTTACCTGGGTGACTTAAGGACTTGCATTGAAGTGTCCTCCGTCTTTGGGGGATTAGTGGTGGCCAGAGTGGAGGTGCTTCCGGCAATTCTCCCACCTCTCTGTTAGGAAGGCCTCATGGGCCTGCCTCCTGAATCACTGGACACCCCTATCTTCTAGAAGTTTCTCACTTTCCAGCCCTTCCCTGGCGGCATGGAGTGGCCTCAAAATCGGCTGCAGACCCTGCTGGCAAATACTTCCCTGCTGGGAAAATACTTCAACACAGTTGTAAACTGAGGTGAAAGAACCCCCCCCCCCCCAAGTACCTGCAAAGTGCTCTTTTTGAAACAGGGGTGGGGAGGGCTTCAAAAAGGCAACAGTCCTTTCCGACCCAGTCTCCGTCCTCACCCGCACATCCCTCGAGTAACAGCTTCCCCTCCACGAGCACCTGCGACCCCGGAGCGACCCAACCCTCTTGCACCCCCCAGGTCTCCCCGCCCACCCCGCTTTCTGGTCCCTTCTCGTGCCCCCACGCCCCGCCTGGGTTCTGCGGTCGCGACTGTTGGCCCCAGCCCGCGACATCCAGCCCTGAGGTCCGCGCCATCATGGAGCCCACCCCCCCCCCCCGGCCTCCCCAGGGCGCCCCCAGGAGGCCGGCCGGCTCCTGGCGCGGCTGCCTGAGACGCCTTCGCTGCGCGCTGCCGCCCGACTTGCGGCGGGAGGTGGCCGGGCTCTGGCCATAGCGGGCCCGGTGGTGAGTGCGCGGCCCAGCCCCTGCCCCCCGCGCCCCACCCTCCCATGGCCCTGGGGCGCGGCCTTGCGGAGGGCGGCCCGCGCTCTGGGCTGGAGAAGTGTCGGGCGGAGTCTCAGTGCCGTGTCCTGTGGGCATCTGTGGGGAAAGTGGAGCTGGATGCGGTTATGTCTGCATCCAGCAGACTTTTTTTTTTTTTTAATCTTTTCCTTGCGGGGACAAGATAAAGTCTCGGAATTTGATCTGTATTATTTTGACTCATTGGCTATATCTTTATAGGGAGATAGCTTCCTTGAGCGACAAGTACCATTTTTAAAGTTGAAAGGAGATCTTGTCGACAAATTAGAAAAGTAAGTTTGGTGTAGTCTTAGATTATCCCGTGATGCCCAGGAGCTCTGAGGACAGAGAGCCCAGGTTTTGAAAGGAATTTGTCGTAAGTATGTAAATTGACCGGTGAAACAAACAAAAACTGCATTATTTTCCTATTATGAGATGAAACCAAAGGACTTTTAAACAATCTAGAAGTGTCTGCCTGAGTTTGAGTTACACGGCTCATTGAGGTAGCGATCCACCACCCTGGAGTGATGTTACACCCGCTCTTTTTTGTCCTGGTTTTTGTTAGTGACTCAGTGGAAAGTTCTCTCTCTCTTGCATGTCATCCAGGGTTTGCAAAGAAAGTGAAAAATACTCCACCTGTTGGCGATGGCAGGGGGTCTTTCTCAGCCGCAGAAAATGTCCCTTCTGAGGGACAGAAACCCTTTAGATCCTGGGCAGCCCCAGAAGTTTCTTTCAGATTTTTGATTGAGATGATCTTGCTAGGTGGACAGATATTTTTACTTGCAGGTCTGTTACTGGGTAAATTAATTCTGCCACAGGGAGATTTCTGCTTTCTTTGAACGTTTAGGTTAAAGCTCTAGAAAGAGTCAACATGGAAGAGACGCTTCTACGCCAGTTGTTACAATGTCCACTGCAAGGATGAGCTTGACCCCTTCACCACACAGGGCGGTGGTGACCATCCTGCACATTCCCTGGTGATATCCAATGGCTGGGCCACTGCATTTTCCTTGTTCATCAAAGACCTCAGCATCCTAGGGCTCCTCTCTGCAGTAATGTGGGCTTGACTTCTCTGTCTGCCTGACTCCAGGAAGCCCCAAATC